TGGTCTAGGCCCGAAACGTCAGCATTCCTGCTCCTCTGATGCTGCTTGGCCTGCTGTGTTCATCCAGCTCTACACCTTGTTATCAACAGTCTAGGGCTGGCTGGGTTACAGGCAACAGCAAAACAGACTGGCAGACTGTCAATGGTGGAAGGACTCCTTTTGTTCTTTTGCTTTCAGATAGAACTTGTTCCTAATAATTCTACTTCTCCCACTCCCACATCATTTAGCTGCATCTTTGTTTCTTGTTCCCATCACCATCTCCTTTTGCTTTTGCTGCCTCATCCTTTTTGTCATTTAGTCTTTCTTGCCTTCCTTTCCATATTATTCTTTTTGTTCTCTCCCTCTTTTGTCTCCCCTGCTTTATTTCCTTATCAACTCATTACGTCACATGTTTTCCAGTTCTGTTGATAGGCCATAAACCTGAAGTTCATATGCTAACAAAGTTGCTGAGTATTTTTAACATTTTTCTGATTTTACTTCTGGTTTGCTGAACTCTTTGCTGAGCTCAGCTTTAGAATGTAGCAGAAGCAAAATCATTGGATATTTTTAATACGAGTGGACACATTCTTGTTTGGCAGCGAAATCAGTGGTATAAGGTGTAGATGGGAATATGGAGTTTGAAATACAACAGACCAACCACAATCTTATTGAATGGCAGAACTGGCTTATGGGGCCAAATGATCTGCTTCTGCACCCATTTCTTATTTTCATGCTTACCTCATTCATTTGCATTTTCTACTTTAACTCTTTCCCTTAGCTCTGTTTTTTAACTTTTTTTATATATTGAAGTACATACAAAGGAATCATGAATTTGAATGTGTCACCCATCAATTGCATTGTGAGCATCTGCATAACATAGTGCAAAGGCTTGCTCCCTGTAATATATGGCTGCAGTGCCTGAGAAGCACTCCAATTGCCTTATACAGCCAGACATTGTAAAGTAAAGTCACATGAATTGCTATTAGTAAGCAAGACAGTGGTGTATACTGCTTGGAATGCTTGAGGAGGGACTGCATTCCTAGCTTCACTGTGGGTACTTACTTTTGAGCTTAAGCTACAAATTTGCAAATAACACAGCTCAGACTACAGTGAGGTGGCTTTCACTGATGTAACATCCATGCTGCGATCACAAGACTACAGCTTTCCTCAGAACCTAGCACAATATAACTATAATCTTGCCGCCATACATTTCTATAAAGATTTACAATAAGAATTATCCACATACTTCGACGTCAGATCATGGCATTAATGATGTCGGGTACCTAAACAGCACCGAATGGAAACTGACATTCATCACAGCAGGAAAGTAAAGTTTCTGCACTCTCCTGCATTGTGCAAGACTTCTCATGATTACAAAAGGAGTTATCTGTACAGGCCAATTACTGCTTTTCTAAATTGCCCTTTCTTAATATGTGGAGATTTCCTTTCCAGTGACTTCATGAACACTACAGTCCAGTGTTCTACTACAAATGAAAAAGTCAGAAGCCTGCATTTTGTGATAAGCAGTGAAGCATAAACCTTCATTGCTAACCTCAAAGTAAGTTGCCCACAAAAATCTATTAATCTCTGTGTATGCCTTTTTCCTCTCCTGATGACTGTTTAAAGCTGGTGTCAAGTCAAGGGACTTTAGCGGTGATAATATCTCCAAGGTAACAAACAGATTGCTTTGAAATATTTACACAATACCAAACCAGAAAGATAAAAACACTTAATCCTTCATTTTTGTTTAAAATTTTAGGTACAGAAATCAATGATTATTATTGGTTTAAGGTAGAAATTAAAATGAAGGTGGTAAGTCAAATGCAATTATTTCCCAAGTGATTCTATGAAAAGGATTTCTGCAGTTCTTTGTAAAGATTACAACGGTAGGGCCCTGGGTAGTGTTGTGGAACAGAGATGCCTGGGATGTCCAGGTGCATAATACTTTGAAATTTGCATCACAGGTGGACAGAGTGGTTAAGAAGGTGTTTAGCACGCTTGCCTTTATTGCTCAGACATTTGAGCATCATAGTTGAGGTTGTACAGGATGTGGTGAGGCCTCTTCTGGTGTACTGTATGCAGTTCTGTCGCCATGTTATAGGAAGGACATTATTAAACTGGAGAGGGTTTGGAAAAAATTTACCAGGCTGTTGCCGGAAATGGAGGGTTTGAGTTGGGACGTTTTTCATTGCAGCTTAAGGGGATGACCTTCAGAGAATCCCCACAGTTTGGGAACAGGCCATTCAGCCCATCGGATCCACAACAACCCGCCGAAGAGCATCCCAGCCAGACCTACCCCCTACCTGATCTTTGTAACTCTGTATTTCCCATGGCTAATCCACCTCACCTGCACATCCCTGGACACTATGGGCAATTTAGCATGGCCAATCTACCTAATCCACATATTTTGAACTGTGGGAGGAAACCGGAGCGCCTGGTGGAAACCCACGCAGACAGGGGGAGAATATACAAATTCTACACAGTTGACCAAGGCTGGATTTGAAGTCAGGTCCCTGGCAGTAAGTGGCATCAGTGCTAAGCACAGAGCCACCATGCTGCCCTTATAGTGGTTTATAAAATCATAAGGGGCATGGATAAGGTGAAAAGCAGAGATCTTTTCTTTAAGGTGGGAAAGTTCAAAACTAGGCGGTATATTTTTAGGGTGAGAGGAGAACGATTTAATAAGGACATGAGGGGCAACTTTTTATACAGAGTGTGATGATTGTATGGAATGAACTGCCAAAGGAATTGATGGATGCAGGTACAGCTACAACGTTGAAAAGACATTTAGATAAGTACATGAATAGGAAAGGTTTGGGGGGGAATATGGGCCAAATGCAAACTAGTGGGGCTGGTTTAGTTTGGGAACATGGACGGCATGGACTAGTTGGGCCGAAGGGTTTGTTTCCACGCTGTATGACTCTATGACTCGATAACAGATTATCTAAAATTGCTCCTTGTGATCTTCCCCAATCCATTGACGATATTAAATAAGATGAGAGGCAGTGAACAATGTTACCTCACTCTTCTCAGTGACCTTGTTTAGTGAGCTAATCTGTAATGCGGAATTTAGGACTGATCAAAGAAAGTCTGTTTGGCTCGGATTCCTGATGCAGTTTGTCTTTCAGGGCACTAAAGATAAAGTACACACTCAGAAAAACTTACCTGTTCCAATAGTCTAGAACTAATTGACCTAATTGCCCTGTCTTTACTGTTAAATTGACTGTTTCACCAATTTTAAACTGGATTCACTTCTGCACATATTCTTACAAGATATGTGAGATAGAAGATTCTCTGAAAAGCACTTAATACATACAACATATAGGTGATGACGCCCACACTCCACATGTCTGTTGGGAATGAAACATAATCATAATTCACCACTTCTGGAGCAAGGAATTCTGGGGTACCAAAATGAACTTTCAGTTTCTCTCTTGGCTTATACCTAAAAACAATAAAAAGTGTTTAAACAAACAGTAAAAAAGTCAGGTTTTCTTTGTGTATTTGAATAATTTCACATATTCTACTGCTGCATAAGTAGCATAATGTTGTGGTCATGGTTAAAGAAAACAGAAGCCTCGATGCTCCACAAGCCTGCACTATACTGATATGTTTGGGTCTAGGCTGTTGCCTGAACTCCCCAAGATTCATGTACTGAATTCTGCCGTACTATAACTTGTTAATGTCATACAAGGCAGGTAAAATTACAAAGTAAGTATTGCTAGAATATCTCACAGATTGACATTGAAAGAGGCCTTAAAATAACTTACATTGACTCAGCTGGAAAAGGGTGAGTGATTCAAAGAAGTAAACCTGTTACAGATGAGGTATTTTTTGCTCCTTAACTGAATTTATAATTCGAGTAATCAAAATAAGACCTCTATAACTGAAACATGTTTTGTTAATCAGCCCATTGTCATTAATATATTTGCCAAGGTTTTAACTTTGTCATAGATGTTGCAATATTAACGGTCTCTGATACTGAACCACTTGTTCTATCCTATCAAACAAAACAATTCCTATTACAGCTGGCATTGCATTTGCTGATATGTAGATTTAAGTTTCAGTTTCTTAGTACTGAATAATGATTATGAGGTTTAAAGGGATGGATCCTTCATGGTAAACTGTTGGTATACATTTGTTCTGGTTTGAGAAAGTCAAAAAACCCATGGATCATCAACATCGCAATTACTTCACCGCTGTGTGTTCACCTGATTTGTATCTTTAACATTATGGTATGGAAGCACCTAAAATTTGATGAACATTTTTTCCATAAATGTAAAGATAGAAAGGACTTGACATTTATGTCCCTGTTATATTCCTGTATCATGACATTGGAAGCAGTGTAGTTAAAAGACAAGTTTCTATTTTGCTAAATCATCCGTATTTGCTGTGGGATAGATTTGCACCAACTTAATGAGTGTTCCAAAGTTACAATTATGACATTAATAATCATGCATGTGTGAATTGTAATAGAGACTTTGTCTATCTGTCAAAGATGATTGGTATAAATACTGAAAATTTTTCACAAGAGTTCCACCTGCCCACAACCAGTGCCAAAGTGGTTATCCTGACATTGTGCTGATGAAAGCTGTTTATATTTAACTATCACTGGAAGTTCAATTGACGCATCAAGTGAAAATTTAGACCCAGATCTTCCAGTCATTTGAACCCTAATCACCCCCACCCCCGAGACCAAGCTGACAGGTCCCACTTCACTCAGCTCTCCCTAATCTCCCCTCCAAACGTCACACTTGTTCCTGACCAATTGACTCTCATCTGACTGATCAGATTAGCTCACACCATCCTCCAACTCCCATCACAACTTGACCCACTTCACCCACCTGCTATCCTCAGCCACCTGCCATCTTTGCCCATCTTCAATCATCACCCACCTGGCTCCTCATCCACCTACCATCCTACTCAGTTAATTAACCCACTTACACATGCAGTTGCTCATCTATCCCTTTATCTATCCACTCATACATTCTACTCACTAAAACAATGAAAAGCTGTTTAAATGTCCCAAAGTTTCAGAATATATTACTGAACACCTCCCAGAATATAGCAGTTATTGCCTTAAGCACTGGGTGAGATTTGCCTTCTCCTGCCAATCCAGCACTATCAGGAAGATATTCAAAGGACAACTCCACATTTCTGTAAAAGCTGGATTGGAAGACCAGTCCAGAAATGCAGAGCCTCACTGGGTCACAGAAAAGTAGGAGCAGAGCTGCAAGCTGACACTGACTGCTGGAAGATCTGGGCTATAATTGCAGCAGATCATCACTGCAAAGCCTAATACATTATTATAGAATCCCTACAGTGTGGAAGCAGGCCATTCAGCCAATTGAGTCCACATTGACCCTCCGAAGAGCATCCCACCCAAATCCATCTCCCTATCTTATTCCTGTAATCCTGCATTCCCCATGCCTAATCCACCTAGCCTGTACATTCATGGACACTATAGGCAATTTAGCTTGGCCAATCCGCCTAACTTGCCCATCTTTGCACTGTGAGAGAAACCAGTGCACGCAGAGGAAACCCATGCAGATACAGGCAGAATGTGCAAACTCTACACAAGCAGTCGCCAATGGCAGAATCAAACCCAGGTACGTTGCACTATGAACAAGGTCAGAAATCACACAACACCAGGTTATATCCAACAGGTTTATTTGAAAACACAAGCTTTTGGAACCTCAGTCTTTCTTCAGGTGTTAGTGGGACAGGTAGCATTTTAGGTTTGTTTAGTACGTCCTCATCAATGGTGCGAACCTTTGCTCTTTTACTGATAAGTTCTGTGTCTGATACTACCTCTCTCACTAACACCTGAAGAAGGACTGAGGCTCTGAAAGCTTGTGTTTTCAAATAAGCCTGTTGGACTATAACCTGGTGTCATGTGATTTATGACCTTGTCCATCCCAGTCCAACACCGGTACCTCCAAATTGTTGCACTGTGAGGGCGCAGTGCTAACCACTGAGCCACCGTGCCACCCCTGACATTGCACAGAAAATGTCATTTCATATCTCCCTTCCTCCATGGCTGATCAACTGGATATTCTTTTGAATGCAGGAGCATTATTGTCAATCCTGATTCTGTCTTTAGTCATATATAGCAGGAACTGCAGATGCTGGAGAATCTGAGATAACAAGGTGTACAGCTGGATGAACACAGCAGGCCAAGCAGCATCATAGGAGCAGGAAAGCTGACGCTTCGGGCCTAGACCCTTCAGAAATTTTCTGAAGAAGGGTCTAGGCCTGAAACGTCAGCCTTCCTGCTCCTCTGATGCTGCTTGGCCTGCTGTGTTCGTCCAGCTCTACACCTTGTTATCTCTTTAGTCATATATGTGCACTTTCCAGCATTAGTCACTAGATGGCAAGCAGGACAAGGAAATTTAACTGATTCTTTTCATTAGAAGCTCTGAAACCAATTTTAACAATTTTCTACTTACCTTTATTCAATATGAAGCAAGGTTCAAATATAGGACCATCTCAGTCGGAAAATTTCAATCCCAGACTAGTTGGTGTTCACACAAACTGAATGATGAGGCATATGGGTGTTTGTAAAATCTCTCATATTTATTTAGTTTTGATGAACTATTTTTCACATTATGCCTATGATTTATAGATTATTTATGGGTTAACGTTGCCAAATAGATTTATTTCACTGCAGATTATTTGAATCAAACAATTTATAATTATTCTATAGCCCTTACCTTCTAGCCAGACCAAAATCAATAATTTTGATTTGATTTCCTGTGTTGTTTACACACAAAATGTTTTCTGGCTGTGGGAGACAAGGAAGGCATTTCAACAAAAGCACAGATCCTGGTGCACACAGAAGTTTCATCTTTGTCGAGGCATCATACGACAACTCAAATGCCAGCACAATCCAACAACCACCCATTACACAAAAACAATTACTTGAGTGTTTTTTTTTGTGTGACATTGTTTTCCATCCCAAATACTCAGCCAAAAGGCCAAATGTTAACTCCTAAGTCAGTGTCAGTCCATATCTGACAGGTTGCAAGAGCCCTAAGATGACCCAAATGTGCATATTGCCCACAAGGACCCATGTGGGATTCAAGGGCTTGCTGTACGATAAACACGTGAAGCTTTTCATTACCACTCTGTGGAAATATTTGCCTTTCAGGAAATTATCGCTACAGCATTAACAGGTAAACTGACTCAGAGATAGTAGGAACTGCAGATGCTGGAGAATCTGAGATAACAAGGTGTAGTTCAGAGATAGTAGGAAGGGTGTAGGCCCGAAACGTCAGCCTGCCTGCTCCTCTGATGCTGCTTGGCCTGCTGTATTCATTCAGCTCTACACCTTGTTATAACAGGTAAACTGACTTGGTTTTAAGTAAGTTTACATCATTTTACATAGTGCAACACCCTTTCAGTTATGAACAATTGCTCCTGAATCAAGACATTGTAAGTATTGCACCCTGGTCAAAAATGGGTACAAGGATAAGCCCAGGAACTCCAGACTAGTTTCTATAACAGTGGTGGGAAAGCTTTTAGGAACAATAATTCAGGGGAAAATCAGCAGTCATTTTAATAAATGTTAATTCAGGAAAAACAGCATGGATTTGTTAGGAGTTTAACTTGCTTGAGTTTTTTGAAGAGGTAACTAGGGAAGAATTTTTCGCCTAGTTCCCATTTACTGCAATATTGTCAGAGCTGCTTAAAGCCAAAATATGTCAAGTGCTGTCTTGTTGTCAAAGACAATCACTCTCACCTCCACTCTTGACTTCAGCTCTTTCATTCATAATTGTTCCAAGGCTGTAATAGTTTGGAAGCCAAGCAGCTTTGGCAGAACCTAAACTGAGCGTCAACAAGCAGATTACACTGTGAGATCATCCATGTTTGTATCAAATGTCAGAGCAGACACATGGGGCTGTATTGCCTAGTCCTTCTCCTAAATTCTTATGTTCTTATGCAGGTTCCCCCTGATAGCACTGCTGATAACACTTCCATCACTTTGCTGATGATTCAGAGAAGGCTGATGGGACAATAATTGGATTTGTGTTACATCTGTGGACATGACAAAACTGCAGTTTTCTATACTGCCATGTCGATGTCAGTAGTGTTGCTGAACAGTGAAGGTTGGCTACTGGCGAGGCTAGTTCTGAAGAATAAATCTTCACTATGGCTGGAGTATTGTCAGGGCCCAGAAATATTGCAGTATCCAGTGCCTCAGCCTCTTCTTGATTTTGTTTTTATTCATACATGGCATGTGGAGTCACTGGTTGGGCCAGGCCGATCTCTAATTGACATTGTGAAGGCGGGTGATGAGCTGCCTTCTTCAACTGCTGCAGTCTATCTGGTTAGGTAGACCCACAATGCCATTGGGGAGGGACTTCCAGGATTTGAACCAGTGAAGGAACAGCAATACATTTCCAAGTCAGGATGATAAGTGGGTTGGAGGGGGACTTGCAGATGACTATGTTCCTATGTTCCCTTGTCCATACAGTATTTGTTGGTTTGGAAAGTGCTGCCTTCAGCTTTGGTGAATTTCTGCAGTACATCTTGCAGATGGTGCACTCTGCTTTTACTGAACATGGAGGGAGTGGATGTTTGTGGATATGGTGCCCATCGAGCAGGCTGCTTTGTCCTGGATGCTGTCCTTGAGTGTTGTTGGAGCTGCACTCGGCCAGACAAGTGGGGAGAAGTCCATCACACACCTTACTTGTGTCTTGTACATGATGGACAGGATTAGTTGAGTTACTTGCTGGGGGATTGCAGCGTCTGACCTGCTGTCGTAGCCACGTATTTATATGGCGAGTCCAGTTCAATTTCTGGTCAAGGTAACTTCCTGAATGTTGATCATGAGGGATTCAGTGATATAATGGTATTGAATGTCAAGGAGCAAATGTTAGATTCTCTCTTGTTGAAGATAGCCATTGCCTGGTACTTGTGTGGTGCAAATGTTCCTTCGTGTATCCCTTGGAGAGATTTGAGTTGGCTGAAGATTGACATCTGTGATGCCAAATACCTCAGGAGGACGATGAAAGTATCATACACTCAGTACTTCTGATTGAAGTTGGTTGCAAATGTCTCAGCATTGCCTTTTGTACAAATGTGCTAGGGTCTATATCATTGAGGATGGGGATATTTGTGGACCGTTCTCCCCGTGTTAGTTATTTAATTGCCCATCACCATTCTCAACTGGATTTGGTAGGACTGCGGAGTTTTAATCTGACCCATTGTTGTTGAATTGCTTAGCTCTAACATGCGCTGCTTCCAATGTTTAGCATGCATATAGTCCTGTGTTGTAGCTTTACCAGGTTGGCATCTCATTTTTAGGTATGCCAGATGCAGTTCATGGCATGCCCTCCTGCACTCTTCATTGAAGCAGAGTTGAGCCCTTGGCTAAATGATAATGATACAGCAGGAATATGCTGGGTCATGAGATTGCAGATTACGGTTGAAAAAGACAATTCTGCTGCTGCTAACTGACCACAGACCTCAGGGATGCCCAGTGTTGAGTTACTAGTTCTGATCCCAATATATCCAGTTTATTATGGTGATAGTGGAACATGACACAATGGAAAATATAGTTTAGCGTGAAGACATGACTTTGACTTCACAAGGCTCATATATTGGTCACTCTTACCTACGCTATCATGGGCAGATACATCTGCAGCAGATAGAATGGTGATGATGGGGTCAAATAGATTTTTGCTTCTTTCTTATTTCCCTCACCATTTACTGTTAACCCAAACAAGGCCTTAGAACTTGGCCAGTTCAGTCAGCATTGGGGATCCCAAGCAACTCTTGGTGATGGCCATTGACATTCCACTCAGAGTACATTCTGTGCCCTTACAGCCCTCAGTGCTTCTGTTGAGTGGTGTTCAAATGGAGGAGAACTGATTCGTCAGCTGAGGGAGGGCACTAGATGGTAATCTGTAGAAGGTTTCCATGGCTGTGTTTAACCAAATATCTTGAGAATTTCATGGGGGCCTGGAGTCAATATTGAGCACCATGCATATCCCTTATACACCACAATGTTGCAACATCTGCTGCCCAATCAGACAGACCCAAGGATGGTGATGAAGATAGGGAAGTAGGACTTGGTGAGATTTTCTTACAGAGAGCCAGTACAAACCTGACAGCCCAAATGGCCACCTTCTGTTCTGCAATCATTCTATGATTCCATACCTCTGACTAGTTTATAGCAGCGAGGTTGATAATTAAAAGTAAAATTCAAGTTCACCAATCACAAATTTACAGATAAACAAAATTGTTAAATAAAAAATCATTTAGTTGTGGTTTTAGAAATGGAGGCATGTCTGTGGATATAAAACATACCTTAAGATCCAAGTGAAGGATATATTGTTGATGTAAATATTGAACACCTTCACAGATCTGCTTCACAAAGACGATTGTATCCAGCTCTGTCAGATTATAGTTTTCATCGATAATTCGGTCAAACAACTCTCCACCTCCAACACTGCAATCAACACAATGTTATAAAGTAATTTAAATCATAGCGTCTCAATTACTTTTCACATTTTATAAACAGATATCTTTAAATAGTACCAGGAGATTCGTTCCTAATGTTTGCTTTTTAAGTGTTTGGCAGTATTATGGCAGTAAGTTATTAATATTCCCTCTCTCCTTTGCATATATTTCCCCTGACAACTTATTCCTTATTTGGTACTGTGGGAACTGTTACATGCAGCTAAGAGGGAAAATGTAGACTTGGCTTAATATCTCATTAAAAATTCTGACTTTGCTCAGCACCACACTCTGAGTTCTGCACCACAATATCAATTTAAACATTCTGCTCGAATCTCCAGATCGAGATTTGACTTTATAACCTACTCATTTAGATAGAAGTGTGCTTAAACTGTGCTGAGGCTGAACACCGACTGTAGACATGTGTGAGATATAAATGTATCTGCAATCACCAACTCCCCTTTGTGACTACCTTATATCTAAGACACCATGAAAAAGAACTCTCAATTTTGTAACCACCCCACAACTGAGGGAACACGCAAGTTCATGGAGTGACTGAGGTCGAAAATCAGGTGGCAAACATCCTGGAAACTTCAACTTGGACAAGAAATGCCTTTACGTAAAAGTGCTTTAAAAAAAAGCACGTTGCATAAAAGTAAAGCATAAAATAAAGTATCAGCATTTGACAGATTTTGCAGAAGGTTACATAGAGTATTATGTGTAAACTGCAATTAAATCTCCAATTTGTCATCTAATTGGGTATCCTTAAAATCCGTGCATGACTTAATGATAAATCAGCCATCAGGATCGGACAATAAAATATTAAGTATCTGAATTGAACATACTGACCTTCATCTCCAATGCTCCACTTCATCCTCCCATCAAGCCAGACTCAATGACAGAAACAGAGTGGTGAAGATTAACTTTTGCCTACATATCTGATTGTTTAGATTTTGTTTTAGACATTATGTTAATCATAATGAAGGTAGTTCCTGGCTTTCTGATTAGTTCTGACACGTTTCATTGACAGAGCTATTTACCAATATATTGGGTCATTTAGCAGTGGCCCAATCAAACAGATTACATGACTTTGTTTCCAATGAGGTAATGTGTAAGACCAGTGGCTTGTGGATTTCAGGTAGTAAGATATTGGCTTTGGAGAAGTAGTTATGGAGTTAAATTCAGAACTCCTGGAAAGTTATAAGAGTTCTGCAGCTCCACCACCACTCAGAATCAAAGGCCTCAATTTATAAACTGTCCTATTAATGATAGCTGTGTCAGCTGTTGAGCTGTACTTGATGCAATATTTTTGGTTGTGTACACATGATGCCGCAGGTGATGTGTTAGTGTTATAAATAATAAAGGAGCAATGAGTTTTTAAATCTAGGGTCAAGGTCCAAATGCCCTCAAAGTGTCTTTCACTGAGTCTCAGAATGTTAAAGATGTTTCCTTTTTTTGGTGAAACTACCAAAACCACTTACTATTCCAAAATCAGTGTGACATTGTTCTTGGCTTCAAATGCATCATAAAGCTGGATCAGGTTGACGTGACTTAACTGATTCATGACAGTGATTTCATTTTTTACTTCCTCCTAAATCAGAAGAGAAATCAATTACCAAGGTTTTAGGAACTGATTAACTCTTACTCAGGAAATAAGTTAGGATATTCTATTTCAAAACTGGGAATACACACTTTAAATTTACTTTCCTAACTTACCCTCCCTTATTTCCCGAAGGCGTTGATTCAAGTTGGGGTCAGTCACTTTCCGATACATTACGTTGTGTGCCAATGTGTAATGAGAGGAGAAATGTATAATTATCAAGGCTGCAAACTTACCTGACTCTTTCTTTCCAGTACACGGGAACTATACCATTTACAGTGTCCTTATTGCTGTCTTTGACTGAATCAACTCAACTGACTCAGCTTAAACCGAAACCTATACCTGGGGTTTTCATATTATTCTATTCCACCTCAGGCAGAGCACTAACCAAACAAGGAGCATCTTTACTTTTTGCAGTATTTGAAAAAGTATTAGTTTTGTCAACACTCAAATGAAATTACCTACATGCATTCTGTAGTGTGAAATAACAACATACAGATTGGCAATTTCCCAGATTTAACTTGTTATTTGTGGTGAGGTATCTGATCTCAGCTTGAATTACAGTGAATTCACTAATATTGATCTCTAGGCTAGGCGGATGTGGAAAAAATCTTTGCAGGGACATGAGGGGAGGATGGAGATTGACTCCAGTTGTCCATTTATCTCATAATCAGACAATCTGCTGACACTCATTCTCTTGTATCACATTGTTGTGTAAGATAGTGAAGGGCTGGTAGACTCTGTGAACGGTATATTACCCTCAAGAAAGAAAAAAAAATGAAAATACACTTAAAAAGGAAATCATTTGAAATTCTTTCACTGTTAACAGAATCTATGCAGATGAGTAGACTTCATTACCATCTGCAAACACCAATGTGTCAGCAGTTTTCATTCAAGATGCAAAGCAAATTTTGATGGGCATGACTATAAAGTGATATTGATATCTTTGTTCTGACATATATGACAGGCAAGATGGATTTACCCTTCATATGCCAATTGATTCATATCAGCTATCTTATCAGCAAAGAGTAGGTAGTTTACCAAATAAACTGAAAATGATCAGAAGAATTCAAACGTATTCTTTTGATGCATCTACTCATAACCAAATACAAATGGCACCCATCAAGGTATGGGATTTAAGTATATATGTGCCAACTCTGCAAAATATTAAGATGCACCAAATGTGGACTTAATAATAGTCAAAATAATTGTTAAAAATGGGCATTGACTTGAATAGAGCACAGAATTTTCCAAAAAAACCACTAATGTTGCATTTAATGTTGCAAAGGTACATACAGAACTGCCTGAATATACATTCATATTCATCATTACAGATAACAATCCTGGCAGGCAATTGTGCTGGCTAGGCTCAATTAAGGAGAGCCAAGCTAGTTATGTTAAAAAAAAACAAAGCTGTAAATCATTGCAGCATCTACGTCATTTGGCAAGCTTTCAACATGAAACATCCCCCAGGTGACTGCAGTTAATCAAAATGAGGCAAGTGACAAGTCATGTTGACAAAGTTATTTTAAGTAAGGAATTTACCCTGTCCTTTGGTCCTTTTACTTTAATTATTTTGGCAGCAAGTTCGAGGCCAGTTGATGTTTCTGCACATTTAAGAACTTGGCCAAATCGACCCCTGCCATTAGAGAAATATAAGAGTGAAAATTTAATGTACATACCACAGGAAATCACCATAACAAATTACAGCTAATCTTTCTCTCCACCTCATCACTGAATATTTCAGAATTTACTAAGGTAACTGTATGGTTTGTTATACTTATCATTAGTATAGTATGAAATAATTATTTCTATAAGAAAATCCCAGTGGAGTAGCAAAGCTATACTGTAAGCAGTAGAACACAAATGGCTACTTTGAAATTTATGCTGTGCTAAGCACGTTTCAGAAAAGTCCTACTGATTTTGCTACTTTTCTTGCCATCCAGTCTGGAAGCTCTGGTTCTTAATGGAGTGACATTCCATTAGTGCTGTCAGCCCTCCAAAGCCTGATTCAAGTGGTCATCATGGAGCCTGGTGACAGCAGCAAGCTATTTTAAGATTATAGTGGAGGTAGGGAGGATACATAATAGCACATACGGACTTAATGTTCACTTTTCATGTACATATATACACTTCCAGCATAAACTAAGAGATAGAATCCTGATCCTTTTGTCTCCATATTGGCTCAAAAAAGATCAAGCCAACTGCAACAATCTCCCATCCCCAAACACCTATAGCTCATATCAGCCCAATTAGTTTGGGCCACAGAGCAAGTCTGTGTTCTTCAGTGCAACAGTCAATTTACCATAAAGGTACCAGAGAAACAATTGGGTGTAAACTCTGTGCACCTCAGTGAAGTTACACTCATATTATTAAAAGTATAAAATTACACCAATTTTAAAGTACCAACAACCTGAAACATTCAAATTATAAATGTATCATAGAAAATAATTATTAATGTTTCACCATGAGCCTCTGAGAGATGGACAAATGTAGGGGTCATTTGGCTCGACAGTTGGTTGTGATGGAGAGTAAAACCAACAGCATGGGTTCAATTCCTGCTGTGGCTGAGGTTATCATAAAGGATTCTCCTCCTGAACCTCTCCCCTTACCTGAGGCATGGTGACCCTCAGTTAAACTGCCACCAGTCATCCCTTTCTAATAAGAGAGCAGACCTACAGCTCTCTGGTTAGAATATAGTGACTTCATCTTTACCTTAGATGTATAATTAAGTACAATACCTAAAAAAGATTGACTGGAGGCAGTTTTATATCTATGCTTTCTAATTGTAACAAAATAATTTCAAAGCTTTATACTTGGCTTTATTAGTTTGGACTGCATTGCACATCTTTACATAACTTTACATTTGTGGGACCTGAGCGTCACTGGCAGGCCAGCATTTATTGCCTGTACCTAGTTGCCCTTGAGAAGGTGGTGGTGAGCTGCCTTCTTGAACCGTTGCAGTCTATTTGCTGTGGATTGACCCACAATGCCATTTTGGAGGAAATTCCAGGATTTTGACCCAGCGACAACGAAGGAACGGCAATATATTTCCAAGTCAGGGTGGTGCGTGGTGGCTTGGAGGGGAACTTGAAGGTGGTGGTGTTCCCATATATCTGCTGCCCTTGTTCTTCTAGATGGGAGTAGTCATGCTGTCTGAGGATCTTTGGTGAATTTCTGCAGTGCATATTGTAAATAGTACACACTGCTGCTTCTGAGCATTGGTGGTGGAGGGAGTGAATGCTTGTGGATGTTGTGCCAATCGAGCAGGCTGCTTTGTCCTGGATGGTGTCAAGTTTCTTGAGTGTTAGTGGGGCTGCACTCATCCAGGCAAATGGAGAGTATTCCATCACATTCCTGACTTGTACCTTGTAGATGGTGGGCAGGCTTTGGGAAGTCAGGAGGTGAGTACTTGCCGCAGTATTCCTAGCTTCTGACCTGCTCTTGTAGCCATTGTGTTTATGTGGTGAGTCCAGTTGAATTTTTGGTCAATGGTAACACCCAGGACGTCGATAGTGGGGGATTCAGTGATGGTAACCATTGAATGCCAAGGGGAGGTGGCTAGATTGTCTCTTTTTCTTGATGGTAATAGCCTGGCATTTGTGTAGCATGAATGTTACTTGCCACTTGTCAGCCCAAGCCTGGATATTGTCCAGATCTTGTTGCATTTGAACATGGACTGCTTCAGTATCTGAGAAGTCGCGAATGGTGCTAAACATTATGCAATCATTGGCGAACATCCCCACTTCTGACCTTATGGTTGAGGGAAGGTTGTTGATGAAGCAGCTGAAGATGGTTGAGCTGAGGAACTACCCTGAGGAACTCCTGTAGAGATGTCCTGGAGCTAAGATGATTGACCTCCAACAACTAGGACCATCATCCTATGTGTCAGGTATGACTCCAAACACCAGAGAGTTTGCCCTCTGATACCCAATGATTCCAGTTTTGCTCGGGCTCCTTGATGCCACACCCCGTCGAATGCAGCCTTGATGTCAAGGGCTATCACTCTGACCTTACCTCTGGAATTCAGTTTTTTTGTCCATGTTTGAACCAGGCTGTAATGAGGTCAGGAGCTGAGTGGCCCTGGTGGAACCCAAACCAGGCATCTCTGAGCAGATCAATGCTGAGCAGGTGCTGCTTGATAGCACTATTGATAACACCTTCCATCACTTTGCTGATGATCGAGAGTAGACTGATGAGGCAGTAATTGGCTGGGTTGAACTTGTTCTGCTTTTTTTATGTACAGGACGTACTTGGGCAATTTTCCACATTGTCGGGTAGATACCAGTGTTGTAACTGTACTGGAACAGCTTAGCTAGGTGAACAGCAAGTTCTGGAGCACAAGTCTTCAGTACTATTGCTGGAATGTTGTCAGGGCCCGTAGCCTTTGCTCTATCCAGTGTCTCCAACTGTTTCTTGATATCATGTGGAGTGCATCGATTTGACTGAAGACTGGTATCTGTAATGTTGGGGACCACTGGAGAAGGCCGAAATGGATCATCCACTCGGCACTTTTGGCTGAAGATTGGTGCAAAAGCTTCAGCCTTCTCTTTTGCACTGATGTGCTGAGCTCCTCCATCATTGAGGATGGGGATATTTATGGAGCCTCCTCCTCCAGTGAGTTGTTTAATTGTCCACCACCATTCACGACTGGATGTGGCAGGACTGCAGAGCTTACATCTGATCCTTTGGTTGTGGGATCGCTTAGCTCTGTCTATCACTTGCTGCTTATGCTGTTTGGCTGCATGTAGTCCTGTTTGATGGCTTCGCCAGGTTGACATCGCATCTTCAGGTATGCCTGGTGCTGCTCCTGGCATGCACTCCTGCACTTTCCGTTGAACCAGGGTTGATTCCCTGGCTTGATGGTAATGGTTGAGTGGGGGATATGCCGGGCCATGACGTTAGATATTGTGCTGGAATACATTTCTGCTGCTGTTGATGGCCCATAGTGGCTCGTGGATGGCCAGCTTTGAGTTGCTAGATCTGTGCGAAGTCTGTCCCATTTAGCACAGTGATAGTGCCACACAATACAATGGAACTCAACGTGAAGACAGAATTTCATCTCCACTAGGACTGTGCAGTGGTCACTCTTACTGATACAGCCATGGACAGATGCAACTGTGTTATTAAATTATGTTATTAAACCAAAAGTTCTGAGAATGTACTTTGCAATGCTACACAGTGAATATTTGCAAAATAATCATAGTTATTTCCTTTCCTTGGTCTTTTATATTTTGTAGTTACCCAAAATGACTGAAAGATCCAATTGATAACTTACCCTCCCAGCACCTCATTGTAATGAACTGTGTATGAAGAGGTTACAAGTATTTTCTTAGTCGTCACTATGCGATGACTGAAGGGGGCTGGAGGTGACGGGCTATCATCTGAGAAGGAAAACCAAAACTTCACAATTGGCATAACTTTAAAGTTTTACAAATAGGGTTGAAAGTGAAATATTGGATGTTGGAAGTAATGATGGGATTATGAAAACTAACTCACCAATAATGATATTGTGATTTTCTGGTTTCTCAACACATCCCTTGTTGTCTTGTTCCTTGTTTGTGATTTCTGTGGAATCTGTTTCCTTCTTTGCCAAAACATTCATTTCTGTGATGTTCGCAGATTCTTTGCTTGCTTTCTGAAGTTCTTTTGAATCTTTTAATTCACTATCTGGACCTGATTTGCACTTGTTTTCTGCTTTATTTTGACAACTGTCAGCACTTTTCTCACTTTTCTGGCCTATTTGAATTTTGGTGTTTTTTAAACCTTTCTCCTGGGTTACAGATGTCTTGGATAATTTGCAGATTTTTTCATCTTGAGCTGGCTCTTTCTCCTTTGCAGTTTTCTGTAGTAATGTAGCTTGCATGTCTTCTTTGGGCTTTTGTTGTGCTTTGTGCTTTTTATGAGGTTCCTTCTGTCCTTCCCATGATGCAGGCACAAGCTCCTTGGCGGCTGTTTCCTCTGAATGGACCTTTTCTGTTGGACTGACTGGCATTTCCTGCATTGTTTCAAAAGCCCTGAAAAAAGTTGCAGTACTAATTAAATAACAGCCATACTTTTAGTGATCACTTATTTGTACAAATGTAAATCCTCCTTTATTAGTGAATACCTGAAACAAATCTTCTTACCTTCAAAGTTCCTGGATAGCCTAGCTTGAAATTAAAGATACAGTAGCATTAGAACAACACACAGTTGCATTAAGTCACTATTAAGTAGATTTGCAAAGCAAGTTTCTAAATTACTAAATGTACGAGTGTGTGTATGAAAACAAGATGATGCCATAATTTTCGACATAATCTGGCTCTTAGAATGACAATTTTCTTTCTTAAAATATGGGATATTCGATTTATATGTAAATTATTCTGCAACATAATTCAATGTTTTTGCGATCAAATCTGTCTCATATTTTCCTGTTTATATAGCAGAATGTGAGTTGCATATTTAAAGCAATAGACTGTTAAATTAATCAGTTTGCATCAAAAGAATTAATTAATATCCTAAGGTAAGTTCCGCACATCAGGCTACAAAGGATCATTCCTGGGATAAGCTATTCTGTTTATCAAGGCTGAGCTGGAAGACTTTGTGTGGGCATACTTCCTGATTTAGTATCAATAACTTAGACTAAAGGAAGAATTAGTGGCAATGAATTCACACAAGGCATTTCCAATGGTTCTGGTAAACTAGACCTCAAAAAACACCATACCAGCAGAGCTAGGATCCAAAAATAACCATAGACTTTCAGTAAAGGAAATTGGGGTTCAACTGTATCGTGGTTAGATCAGATCATATTACTTCTGGTCACTGAGACAGAACAGACCCATTTGAGCACTGGAGTTAACAGGGAAAGGGAGTTATAAAATTACACCCTGTGGCTGAAAATCTCAGTTGTGGTGAAAGAGATGTTAAATATAAGGTTGTCAGTCTGGAAAAAGAAAGAGAATAGTCCAGCAACGGTAATATTGGCAGTGGACTATTATTGTTCTTGGTTGTCCAGTGACAAAGCCATGCCAAAATTTGCTAGAAAATGGTTAGAATACCATGCAGTTTTTATAATGAGGGATCATAAACAGTGATCTATTTCTCGGTCCTGTTCAAGGGCACGGGAGCTGAAACGGAATGAAAGAACAGGTTATTAATGGGCAAGTTTACGAGAAATGAAGCCTAGCCATTTTTTAACCAAAAGAGGCTAACCATGCACACAATTTCAATAAACGTGAAAATAATATCAGTCAGGAAAATCTCAGAATTTGAAACTTTATTTTACTAAAGAAATGGTTGGAGGCATTGGATACTATAAAGTCTATGAGCCCTGACAACATTCCGGCACTAGTACTGAAGACTTGTGCTCCAGAACTTGCTGATTGACTAGCCAAGCTCTTCCAGTACAGTCACAATACTGGCATTAGCCCGACAATGTGGAAAATTGCCCAGGAATGTTCCGTACACAAAAAGCCATAAATCTACATGGCTAATTATGGCCCTATCAGTTTACTTTTGATCATCAGTAAAGTGGGGTAAGGTGTCATTAACAACAGCATTTGCTCAACAATAACCTGCTCTGCTCCATGTCATCTCTGCAGGATTTCCTCAGGATAGTATCCTAGGCCCAACCATTTTCAGCTGCTTCATCAATGACTTTCCTTCCACCATAAGGTCAGAAGTGGGAATGTCCACTGATGATTGCACAATTTTCAGCACCACTGATGACTCCTCAGATATTCAAATGCAGGATATAGATTATAGAGATAGTAGGAACTGCCGATGTTGGAGAATCTGAGATAACAAGGTGTAGAGCTGAATGAACGCAGCAGGCCAAGCAGCATCAGAGGAGCAGGAAAGCTAATGTTTCGGGTCGAGACCCTTCTTCAGAATATAGACTATATACAGGATTGGGCTGGCAATTAACATTCGCACCTCACAAATGCCAGACAATAACCATCTCCAATAAGAGACAATCTAACTATCACCTCTTAACATTCAATGGTTGAATAAATAAAAAATTGATTTGAGGACTAGGATCTCAACGAGAATCCCAGAATAGCCCCTGAGCTGTAACTACTGATTCTGTGTCCTCTGGTACCATTCTGTGATGGTGTTCTTGCCTGTTGTAGTCAAGTGACATTGTTAATTCACTAAACATGATATCACCACTGATTTTAATAAGAGTGGGGCAATTAACTTTTCTTTGTGGAGTAAAGTCCAACACGGTTTTGAATACTGTCATAAATTATTAATCATAACTTTCAAGAATTTCTCCATCATGAGAGTACTGTTGCCGATAAGTGTTGCGAGTATTTGGCGAATTGCAGCTCATTAGCTTATCTTTGAGGTTTATAAAATAGCTGGAATATTTAATTTAAAAAGTGTGAATTTAAATAGATATGGTAGCATGGTGATTTTATTGCAGCACTAGTAATCTAAGGCTCTGCACCAATGATCTGGAAACTTGAGTTTAATTTCAATTAAGTTCACTAAATATATCTGAAAATAAAAAGATAGTCTTGGTAAAGGTAATGATAAATCTAGTGATTGTCATAAAAATAAAATATCTGACTTTCTCATGTTCTTTAGGGAAGGAAATCTGCTGTCCCTATCCAATTTGACTTTAAGTATCTCCAGAGCCAAAACAACTTGGTGATACTTAACTGCCCTCTGAAATGGCTTAGAAAGCCGTTTAGCCGTACTGAAGCTGTATGAAAGAGTGTAATTGAATCGACCACTTGTTATCAACTTCAACTTAAAATTGGACATGACAAAGGTCACCCTGTAAAATTCCTCCTCACTAACACCTGGAGGCTTGTACCAAAATCAGGACAGCTTTCCCACAGCCTGGCTAAACGATAGTTGAGCACAGCCATTGTCATTGAATCACATAGCAGAGCCAGTGTGGTAGACTTCTCCATCATTGTCCCTGGTAAGCCTTGCCATAACAGGCAGGACAAACTTCCCGGTGGTGCAACAAAATGGTGTATAGGCAGGAAGGGGTGGTTTTAGGAGATTCCAGCATTGATACTGGTGCCCATTAAGTCTCATATTATCCAAGTCAAGCCTGGCCAAAGAATCACCCTCCCAAATACCACTAAAAACACTCTCAGACGATGAACTGGTACTACTCCACGTTGATCACTATTTGAAAGCAATTCTGAGAACATCAAGGGAATATAATACTTTCAGGGACTTCAGTGTTCACCACCAAGATTTGCTCAGTGATGCTATAACTAACTAAACCTTCACTAGGTGGTCAGGAAACCAACAAGAAAAAAGAACATTCTAGAACCTGGTCCACCAATTTACCTGTTACAGGTGCATCTGTCCGTGAGAGTACAGTTGGAGTAAGCACCTCAAAGTCTTTATGAAGACAAAGTCCCATCTTCACAGTGCGCATGCTCCCAACATGTTGTTTGGTACTACAACTGTGCTAAATGGACTAGATTCAGAACAGAACTAACAGCTAAAAATTGGACATCTGTGAGACACTGTGAACTATTAACTGCAGCAAAATTGTATTCAACCATAGTCTCTAACTCATTCTACAATTATGCTCAAATCAGGAAACCATCCCTCAGTTAATGAAGAGCGTAGAAGCTACAATACAGAATTACATGCTCACCAAAGATAGGCACAACTTGCTACTGGCCAAGCTTAGTTATAACACAATCAGCAGATCAAATCAAAGCTCTACAATCCAGCCACATCCAGTCATGAACAGAGATGGTAAATTAATGAACAAACTGAAAGAGGAGGCTCTGTATGCATTATGTCATTAATGATGGTGGACACCAGCACACCAGTGCAAAACGGAGACAAACCAGAAGTGGATGATCCATCTCAGCCTACTATTGACATCCCCACTATCACAGAAGCCATTCTTCAGCCAATTCAATTCATTCCATATGCTATCAAGAAATGGTTGAGTGCATTATAGCCATAGATCCTGATAATATCTCAGCTGTGCTGAATTCTTAAACTGTAGAACTAGCCATACCTCAGTGTATTCCAGAACAGCTACAACATTGGTATCTGTCAACAAGGAAAATTGCCAAAATATATTCTGTCCACAATGAACAGGTCAAATTCAATGTAGCAATTACTGCCCTACCAGTCTACTGTTGTCATCAGTGCTACCAAGTTGCATTTGATCAAGTGTGGCATCAAGGAACCTTAGCAAAATTAAAATCAATGGGAATCTGGAAGAACTACCTCATTGGCTGCAGTGATACCAGACGGATATCCCAACATGGGAGTCTACAGACGGAACTCGTGGATCAAACAAAAAGCATTACATTCTCAGCCAATGAGACCTGTCAGCACCACTGCTTCTGGACCTCAGACTATGCCAATAGCTCTCAGCCCCTAGCTTTTGCCCATGGTCCCAGCATTTAGCCTCCAGCCCTAACTCTCAAGGCCCCGGTTCCAGCTCTTACTCAAGGCTCTGGCTTTCAGTCTCATGTCCCAGCTTTCAATTTGAGCTTTCACCCCCTCCCAGCCCCATCTCTCAACCCCTGACCTGGACCAGCGTTTCCCCTGGTCCTACCTCTCAGCTCTGGTCCCAGCTCTTGGCCCAGCCATCACCACCCCAGGCACTTTTGCTCCTGGTTCCCAGCAAAAGGTTCTGCTAGAAAATCCTCAACACTGTACTGTCAGTACTGATTGTTCTAGCTGCTCCTTCAATCACAGGTTGCTTCTGAGCTAAGGTAGCTTGGATGGGTTTACGAGTGAGTTTACCAATAGCAAACATGGTACAGAATGAACTTGTGATTGGAAGAGCAGCTCCTCACCAGTGCATCCATTCTGTTTACCAGTGCAAATTCTCTCTGATTGGTCACCTTTGTGAGAGAATGTTCATCGGTAATTTAGAGTCTTTTGGGAGTGAATTTGCCCACTGCCACGATGTATTTTGTTTGTTGCTCCCAAGCCATGAAATAAATTGGTATAATGGGAAAATTTTAGAATCTTTTAGGGTAGATAAAATAAAATGGGCCAAATGGAAAATCTTGACCTTATTTACCTTGTAATAAGCAAGGTCAGCGGTGTTTTGTGTTAAAGTCAGATAAAAACAGATTCTTTCTACGAGAGCCGTAATCTGCGTTTGGAAGGAAACTTATGAAACAGAAATATAGTTGATCTTTTTTTTTCTTTTTAAGACGACAAAGTTACTATCATACGAAGCCTGGATATTCAATTTCTTTTTGGTAACTGGTTTAAACAATGCAATCGGAATTCATCTGTTCAGTTCCATGATACTCATTTATAGACATTTTCTGTTATAACTAGGTTTCATCAATGACAACTCAATGAAAGAACAGCTTAAGTTTGAAAGATGAGGATAAAACAGAGGTTGATGGGTCATTGAAATTTAAACGTACCTCTCTACCACTGATGGGGAGTTTCCGTCAAACTGTGACTGAGTTGTGGCCAGACTGACCTCAGGAGGTTCAGTTGTGATGTTGTCAGCCTCTTTTCCTTGGCTTCTTTCAGTTCCATGTATTTTATATGCCTCATTGTTTGTGTTGGTTTTAATTATTTCTTTCAGGTTGTCTGCTGTTGAGTTCTGACTCTGTGCACACTTCTTGTTTTCCTGTGGAAGTTCCTTCACCTTTCTTGTTACAGTAGAAATCTCTTTTTTGCAGACACCTCCAGACTTATTTGTTGTTGCTGAAGCCCCCAGGGGGTCTTTGTGTTTTCCAGCTGTGTCTGGGGACTGGTGCAGTGATTTATCTCCTTCAGAATTATTTGTTGCCTGTGGTTTGATTAGAATGGTGTCATTTGCCTTTGCGAGTTCATCTTTATCTTTCTGGATATTTCCATTGCTTTTGATGCCTTCACAATCATTGGCTTCTGAGCAATGATGTGAATAAAGAAAATTATATATTGTAATACTTTAACAAGATCGATCATTTTGTAAAATTCCATTTAACATTCAAAGTTAACACTGTTACTACTACCCAATCATAGGTTACTATAATGGATTAGTTATCCTGAGTAGAAACCTACAGTTCGTGCACCTCTTACACAATACTCAATTCCCAAACATAATGGGAATGAATTTAAAAAAAAAATAAAAATAGAACAAAAGAGGTATATTTCATTAGTAAATTAAGCAAATGAAAAAAAGTACAGTTCAACACATGTTGTGTCCTGGTTGGACAGGGCAGTAGAACTACTAAGTAGAAATACAAAGGCAGTAGAACTCGCCAAGTTATTTTTAACAAGTACTTAAGTATGTTACAATAAATCAAGGACACAAAAGTTAATAGTAGTTTGAAAAGTTCTTTTTATTTAAATTATAGTGTAATAAGAGAAGTGTAGAGTGTTCCGTTACTCATGTAGGTTATGGAAGGGCTTTGGAGAGTTATGAGTCCAGTCTCTGACATGCTCTTATCATGTGAAGACCATATCTTTTTATTGTTCCGTATTTTTGATTGTTGATACAATTGGCCAAAGTACTGGTTTAAAAACGGGTAATTCGTCTGTAAACCAGCATTCCCTCTCATTTTCTTTCCAGTTTCACAGGCTTCTGAGGTGTGTGTGTGCAGCAGTGACTTTCAGAGCCAGAAGTCATTACCGTGATTGATATATCAACACTGATTGCCATGCACAGAACTTTGGAGCAGCTGCAAGTACCATAGCTATGCAGCTTGGATGGAACTTTGCTGTGGACTAGGGACCAAATATTGATGACAATGATCTCCTGCCTGCTAACAATGACGTGATAGGCTCCCAGGTAGCTGAACAGCTTAAGGGTTTGCATGTTTGGGCAAATGTAATCAAATCTCTGAAAGGGAAGGAACTGTATTTTCTGTGCAATAAAAAGTATAATCCTGAAGATAGCCAATTTATTTCCTCTCCTCAGTAACTGTGAATTTTAATTAATAAGTCAGAGACCTTTATACGTGTGAACCCATCACCCTGTGCCTCCTGCATAGTATCTGTAGAAGGAAGATCGATAAGCCGCATTGTGATCACCATCTCAGCAAACCCTGCAGACAGGGACCAATGAACTGCCTTGCCATTCTTTCCCTCCATCCATAACATCAATTTTTTTGTGTCTGTCTATGTAGAGAAGGCGAGAACAAAGAAAAAAAGAACAAAGAACAGTACAGCACAGGAACACGCCCTACCATGCCTGTGCTGACACATGACTCCTTGCTAAATTAAAATCCTTTGCCTCTACATAGCCCATTTCCTTCAATTCCCTATTTATGTATCTGTCAAGATGCCTCAAAAGTTGCTATTGTATCTGCTTCTACCACCTCCTCTGGCAGCACATTCTAGGCACTTACCACCCACTTTGTAAAAAAAAACCTTCATCTCACATCTCCTTTAAATTTACCTCCTTTTGCCTTAAACCTATGTCCCCTAGTAATTAACAACTCTAACCTGGGAAAAAGACTCAGACTATCCATTCTATCCATGCTTCTCATAATTTTGTAAACTTCTATCAGGTTGTCCTTCAGCCTCCAATGTTCAAGTGAAAACAAATCAAGTCTGTCCAATCTCTCCTCATAACTAATACCCTCCAAACCAAGCAAAATCCTGGCAAACCTTCACTGTACACTCTCCAAAGCTACCACATCCTTCTGGCAGTTGACCAGAACTGTATGCAATATTCCAAATGTGGCCTAACTAAAGTTTGATACAGCTGCAACATGACTTATTGATTTTTATACTTAATGCCTCAATTGATGAAGGAAAGCATGCCATATGCCTTCTTGACCAACTTATTCACTTGTGTTGCCATTTTCAGGGAACTGTGGACCTGTACACCTCGATAGCTCTGAATGTTGATGCAACTTAGGATTCTGCCATTTACCATATGCTTCCCTCCTGCATTAGATCTTCCAAAATGCATCACCTCACCAAATCACTTGTCCAGATTAAACTCCATCTGCCATTTCTCCACCCAAGTCCCCACCCTATTCATATTCTGCTGTATCCTCTAGCAATCCCCCTCACTATCCACAGCTGGTCCAATTTTTGTGCCATCCACCAAATTACTAATCAGACGACCTTTATTCTCATCCAAATCATTCATATATATATGTCACAAACAACGGGGTCCCAGCATTGATCTCTGCAGAACACCACTGATCACAGATCTCCAGTCAGAAACCACCTTTACAATGTTACTCTCTGTTTCTTATGACTAAGCATCCATCTTACCAGCTCACTGTGGATTCCATGTGACTTCCCCTACCATGAGAGACCTTGCTAGAAAAGTCCATACAGACAACATCTACCACCCTGCACTCATCAATCATCTTTGCCACTTTCTCAAAAAATGCTTTTAGGCTAGTGAGACACAGCCTTCCCCACACAAAGCCATGCTGCCTATCATTAATAAGTTCTGTAAGTAGGTTAGAGTTTTATCTGGTAAATGTATATATATAGATAGTTCATAATTATTTATCTGTTGTTAGAATCTATTTATTTAAATCAGAACTCTGGGTCTGTGCTTTCTGTTAACCTGAGTCTAAACTGTGGAATTCTGCATATGTTTTAAAATTTTTAACTCCTTACTCCAGGAATAGCAGGGCTTGATTTCCAATGTGATGTAACAATTGCCATAGGCTTTATGGTCAGTTGAGTTCCCGCTCAACAGTGCACCACAGGACATTGATACTCAGGGATCATATGAAAACTATTCAATATGAAATGGTTGTGTTTGTTTCAGATGACCAAGACTGGCACTTGTCATTGCTTAATATTTTATGATGGAAATATATAACGAGTTTTCAAGTTTTATTTAGGATGTGAAATGTTTAAGAGAAAAAGTAAGTTCCCTTAACAATTCTCTTAAATTCTCTTTAGCATCAGTGTCATTTTTGGATGTAATTGCTTCGCTGCTGTAATTATGAACACTTAAATATGCATTATACAAGCTTTGTTGGTGAAAGAAAAGTCAGAAAGCAATCAATAACAAAGACAGACACATATATAGTGTTGAACTCATCAGAGCTTGGAATGTTCAGGGCATTGCCACAGGAAATGCAGCAGGTGTTGACAGTTTGCATATCCTTCTCTCAATGAAAAAGATGCAATGCAATGACAATTCCTTTTGGCTGCAAAGAACATGGTCTTGTGTGTGAGCATGCATAGCTTCGAACACACACACCTGAATCACACTGCGATCCTGGCTGATACATCAAATTATTACATGTGTGCATAAATTGGTGGTCCCTTTCTAAAAAAACAAAGTTGCTGGAAAAGCTCAGCAGGTCTGGCAGCATTCGTGAAGGAAAAAACAGAGTTAACGTTTCAGGTCCGGTGACCCTTCAGGAACCCAAAACGTTAACTCTGTTTTTTCCTTCACGGATGCTGCCAGACCTGCCAAGCTTTTCCAGCAACTTCTGTTTTTGTTCCTGATTTACAGCATCTGCAGTTCTTTTGGTTTTTATTTGGCCCCTTTCTAAGTTTGGTTTCTTGTACCGCAGTCCTGATAAGGGTAAGAGTACAAAAACACTGGAGGGAATCTGCATTTTTGAAAAATATAATAATCAAAAAGCACAGCATTAAGTCTTCAGTGGAAAAATAGGAGACCTACACCCAATTATGTCCTTACAAGCATGGTCCTAGTAATGATACCAGTTGGTGCATGTAATATCTAGGCTAAAAGGTCAGTTCAGAGTGAGGTTGCTAAACACACTGTAACAGATTTGGTGCATAAAATGACGTGGGTCTGGTATTTACAATGATAGCATGCGTAATAACACTGGTTTAATATTCATGTCCTATAGGCACAGCTGATGTGGAGGTGCTGGTGTTGGACTGGGATGGACAAGGTCAGAAATCACACAACATCAGATTATAGTCCAAGAGGTTTATTTGAAAACACAAGCTTTCTGAGCCTTACTCCTTCTTCAGGTGTTAGTGAGAGAAGTAGTATCAGACACAGAATCTATAAGTAAAAGATCAAAGGGTCACACCACTGATGAGGATATGTTAAACAAACCTAGGATTCTGTTAAATCTGTAATTAGTTAGAAGGTTTTAATTGATTAATACGTACATGTAAATCCCCAAATTCTTTTCAAGCCACTGTCCTGCGAGAACTAAAGGTTTTATCAGTGTAAAGAAGAGGTGACGTTTTAAGTCAGACAATGCACGTTAGGTGTAAGGCCTCTTTTAGATTCTGTTTGTGTTTTGGTTCAGAGTAAGACTGGTTTTATTTCTAAAGTAGGAATTTATAGAAGGCCACATTGACTGTCTATAAATTGTATGCTTTTTGAACAAAATAGAACATATCTGCCAATACAAATTCACCCCACAGATGTGTGTGTGTGTGTGTGTGGGGTGGGGGGGTCAGAAGAGACAGTATGTGTGTGTAAGGGAGAGAGAGAGAAAATGTGTGTGTGTGTGTGTGTGTGTGTCTGTCAGTCTGTCTGTCTGTGTGTCTGTGTGTGTGGGGAAAGGGGTCGCAGGGAGAAAGGGTGTATGTGTGTGAGGGAGATTGTGTGTGTGTGTGTGTGTGTGTGTGTGTGTGTGTGTACGTATGCGTGTGTGTGTGTGTGCATGAGTGTGTGTATGTATGCGTGTGTGTGTGTGTGAGTGTATAGTGTGGTGGGATCACCTGTAGTGCAACATGAACTCAAGATCCCGGTTGAGGCCGTCCTCATGGGGACCGAACTTGGCTATCAGCCTCTGCTTGGTGACTCTGTGTTGTTGTCTATCCGGAAGTCTGCCTTGGAGGATGCTTACCCGAAGATCCGAGGCCAAGTATCCTTGACCCACTGGGAGGGAACATCCCTGTCTGGCGATTGTTGCGCAGTGTCCATTCATCTGTTGTCACAGCGTCTGCATGGTTTCGCCAATATACCATGTCTCGGAGCACCCTTGCCTGCATCATATGAGATAGACAACATTGGCCGGGTCACATGAGTATCTGCCGTGCGCATGGTGGGTGGTGTTCCCACGCGTGATGGTAAAATCCATGTCGATGATCTGATATGTCTTGCCATGTGAGGGTTGTGTGGTCCCCATGGCTCTTCTGAGTGTCTGGATAAAGAACTGGTTGTTGAAGGTGAAGACATTGTGGTCAAGGAACAGCCATGGGGACCAGATTTGCCCCCCAATATGCCAACAGGTTCAAACAGGACTTCTTTGCTGCACAGAACCTCTGATCAATGCTATACAGTCGATATACACACACACACACACACACACACACACACACACACCCATGAATCTATGGGGTGAATTTGTATTTGCAGATACATTCTATTTTGTTCCTACTTTAGAAATAAAACCAGTCTTACTCTGAACCAAAACACAAACAGAACCTAAAAAAGGCCTTGCACCTAACATGCATTGTCTGACCTAAAATGTCACCTCTTCTTTACACTGATAAAACCTTCAGTTCTCACTGAACAGGGACTTGAAAGGAATTAGGGGATTTACATATACATATTAATCAATTAAAACTTTCTAACTGATTAAAGATTTAATAGCATTTTAGGTTTGTTTAGTACATCCTCATCAGTGGTGTGACCCTTTGACCTTTTACTCATAGATTCTGTGTCTCTCGCTAACACCTGAAGAAGGAGTAAAGCTCAGCAAGCTTGTGTTTTCAAATAAACCTCTTGGACTATAACCTGGTGTCGTGTGATTTCTGACCTTTAGGCACGTACATTGAGGTGTAAATATGCATCAAGGCAGACTCAATAAAATACTCATAACTGTCCACATCTGCTCAGAACATGACTAATGTTTCTATACCTTCCAACAATTCTCTGTTTATTTGTGCTTGGATCCCTCTGTTGCTATATCCATGCTTTGGTTTGGCACCTTTCTCGTCAGCTTTATTATTTCCCTGTCAAAAAGAAGTTTCACAAAATTTTAAATGGTCATAAGAAGTATTAGTACACAGGCATCTAAGTGATACAAAAAAGCAATCAAATTTGGAATAATTTGCGAATTAGGATTGCATGACCATCTGGTCAACATTGTTTCTTATCTATTGTGGAAACTTGTAGTTTCTGTCGATTTAGACACACGTATATTTACAAAAGGGAAAAAAAAGCTTTCCAGATATTGTGTGTGATAAAGCACTGCAGTCTTGAGATCACCAGTGGCTTGCGAGCTCTGGCAACCTCGCTCTTAAAGCATCTTAGTTCTATTTATCAGTTGCTTGGCTTCATTTTAACTTTATCAACCTGAACCTTTGGAAAGAATTGTTTAGTTTGTCCGAAGGAGAACACCAAGATTGATCATCATTGAAATAACTCCTCAGAGGCCACTATCCTGTCACCAAGTCATCCTTTATTTACACCTAGAAAGTCCTTAACACTGATCCAGCTTCCTCAGAGCCAGCTCTCAAAGTGAGCAGAACCTCTGACAGTCCTTTTTATATCTGTCAGCCAGATTAACAGCCCCAGTCAGGGAACTCACACTGTATGAGGTCCACCTGGCTGACTTCGTTACAATCACAATTATTAGTGCCTGATATATGTGCAAATTAATGGGAACATTGATTTAATAACAAACCTGCATAATACAGTAAAAATCAAACTATCCAGCACCATAGAAACTTAAAACTCCACCTACCAGAATCTGTGATATCCTCATTATGAGTACAAATCATACACCTCAATTTTTTTAACTTTCTTTTGAGGATGCTATTCTTGATCTAAAACTATTTATTTTTGTTTTTCTTTTTTTTGTGTCTTTTTCCTGCTTTAGCCAAAATGGTGTTTGGTGCATAGGAGCAACTCAGCATAACAAGTGCTAAGCAGTTTTGTCTTCCCAGTGCCTATTCCTTTTCCATGCTATTAGCAGCAATTAATTATTGCTTTCTCTACTAAGCTTTATAAAGAGTGTCTTTGTTGTCTGCAAGTACAACTATCTGAGGAATTCAAAAGCATCACTCCATAAATAGTCAGACAAACTAGTAGACAAGTTATCGTTGTGGGGGGAAAGGGAAGGGGAGAGGGCAGGAGTGCAGGAAATAGGTCAGACCTTGTCAACCATGATTTCAAGGAACCCTCAGTTGAGGGAAAAGTGGACCTGTCTGAAGCCTCCCTGTGGAAGGTGGCATCATCAGAATACATGCAATGGAAATGGAGAAACTGGGAAAATAGAATGGAATCCTTACAGGAAGTAGGGGTGAGGACGTGCAATCCAGCTAGCTGTGGGAGTTGGTGGGTTTGTAATGGATATTGGTGGCCAACCGATCCACAAAAATGGAACCAGAGATGTCAAGGAAGGGAAGGAAGGAGTCAGAGATGGACCAGGTGAAGGTGAAGGAAAGACAGAAATTGGAAGCAAAATGAATCTGTTTTTCCAATTCCAAAAGCGAGAGGGAAGCAGCACCAAATGATGTCATCGATGTCCCAGAGAAAAGTGTTGTGTGGAGGGACTTGTGTAGGACTGGAACAAGGAATGTTCCACATCCCCCACAAAGAGTGAGGTATAACTGGAGTTGATGCAGGTACCCATGGCCACACCTTTGACCTGAAGAAAGTGAGATGAGTTAAATGAGAAGTTATTCAGAGTGAGGACGAGCCAACCTGGCAGAGGAGGGTGGCGGGCGAAGGGTTGGTTCAGAAAGAAATGGAGAGGCCTGAGACCATTGTGATGATGGGGGATGTATATGTAAAGGGATTACTCATCCATAATGAGGAGGAAACAGCTGGAGCCTGCAAACTGGAAATTCTGAAACTGACATAAAGGATCAGAAGAATCACAGATGGAAGTGAGAAGGGACTGGACAAGAAGAGAAAAAAATTGAGTCAAGTTAGGGAGAAATAGGTTCTGTGGGGCAGGAACAGCAGTACTGATTGTGGATTTTGGGGAGAAGGCAAAAATGGGCAATAGGGACTGGGGGACTCTGAGCTGGGAGCCCGTAGTGTGAAAATCCCCAGATGAGATGATGTTGGTTACAGTCGAGAACACAATGGCCTGATGCTCAATGGTGGGGGGAGATAGGAGGGGGTGTCCAAGAGCTGGTGCTCAGCCTCTGCAATGTAAAGGTCAGTACACCAGACAACAACAGCACCACTTCTGTCAGTAGGTTTGATGACAAAGTCTGGTTGGATCTGAGAGAAATTAAGGCGACTGATGTCACGTCAAGAGTTCTTGATGACCAGGTCACGTACACATAAGAGGCCAGAGGGAGACGTCCAGGTGGTGGAAGAGACTGGAGGTGGTGCAAAGAAATGGGCACAGAGGTGAAGGCAACGGAACAATAGTTTGATGTCGTGTTATGACTGAAACTTGTTGAGGTGGGACACAAGGGGATAAAAGCAAGTCCTTTGCTGAGTACAGAACATTCAGCATCAGAGAGTGGAAGTTCAGAAGTTAGCCACTGAATTTATATCTGCAGTTAATGTTTGGCTGTATGTCTCTTTTAAAAAGTACTTGTTGGATTTTAAAAGTTCATTATGTTCTTTGGTGATTTGTGGTCATGGCAATGGGCACAACTCAATACCTAAGGTATTGACCCTACAATGGGAGCAACAAGCTGTACTGTACCCAAGATAATACATCCAGACCATAGGAGCTGAAATAGCCCATTTGGTCCATTGAGACTACTCCACCATTCAGTGAGATCATGATCGATCTGATAATCCTCAACTCCACTTTCTTGCCTTTTCCCCATAACTAATTCCATTACTGATTAAAAATATGTCTATCTCAGCTCTCAATATACTAAATAACCTAGCCTCAACAGCCCTCTGTGGTAAAGAATTCCACAGATTCACAACCCTTGGAGAGAAGAAATTTCTTCTTGCTTCTGTCTTAAATAGGCAACTCCTCACTCTGGTTATGTTCTCTAGTCCTAGACAACCCTACAAATGGAAGCAACCTCTCCAGATCTAGCCTGTTAGGCTGGCTATGAATTTTATGTTTCAATAAGGTCGCCTGTCAGTTTTCGAAACTCCAGTGAGTACAACCCTTTCCTACTCAAAATTAAGAAAATCCTGGAATCAACCTGGCAAACCTTCTCCGGACTGCCACCTGTGCTTTCCTGGATAATGGAATGAAAACTCTTCACAGTATTCCAGCTGTAGTCTGACTGGTGCCTTGTATAGCTTTAGCAAGACCTCCCTATTTTATACTGAATACCCTTTGAAATAAAGACCAACATTCCAGTTGCCTTCCCTATTTCAAGCTAAACTTTGATGCTAGATTTTTGTGATTTATGCAGTTATAGAACTCTTTCAAATTCCTCTGTGCTGTAGCTTTTTGGAGTCCTTCTCCATTTAAGTAATATTCAGCTTCTCTATTCTTCCAGCCAAAGTGCATAGCGTCCGACATTATATTCCATCCACTAAGTTTTTGCTCACTCACCTATATCCTAACACAGATTCTTTATGTCATCCTCACCACTTGCTTTCTCATCTATTTTTGTGTCATTTGCAAACTTATGATTATACATTGACTGTCCTCATCCAAGTCATTAATATATGTTGTAAATAATTGTGGCTCCAGCACTGATCCCTGTGGCACACTAGTACTTACAAGTTGCCGTCCTGAAAATACCATCTTTATTCAACTCTCTGCCTTCTTTTATTATTCTAATATATTCATAATATATTGTAATATATCTCATATGTATTCTAATATACAACCCCAACACCATGAGACCATATCTTATTAAGTACTTATATGCAGGAAAGAATTATCTCAAACTTTTAACAGTAAGTTTCTCAGTAATTTGGTGTGGACATTCTGATAACAAGCTGGTGAAAATAAAATGTCTCTACATATCCATTAAACTGATGTTGTTTATGTTTGTCAACTACACAAAGAAAAGAGATCTAAGTAAATTAGCGAACAACGGTTATTATTTATTCACATTGAACTACCATTACCAATTAGGCACTGGCCCTGCAAGTGCCAATTTAACTGCAGCCGCAATTTACCTATTACTATTCCACTTTGGACATATTGGTACAAGTACTATGTTTTCTATGCCAGTGCACCAAAGGGATTTCCTTGGGTTTGCTGCCATTGCCTCATTCAAACTAACAGTGTACTGCCAGAATAACATACATCAAATGCCAGGAGCACAGGAGTTCAAGTTTTTATAGGCAGTAAATCGACTGGTGAAATTTGTGGTTTGTTGGCTCGCCGAGCTGGGTCATTGTTCTGCAGACGTTTCATTACCCTGCTGGGTAAAATCATCAGTGCAGCCTCCAATGAAGTACCACAGACTCCACAAAGAAAACCATCAACAAACACATACAACTCGACCCCATATACACTCCATTACGAAGGAAAACCGGAAGTGAGGTAATCCAGCTCAATGGACTCCAGAGTTTAAATAACGGGTGGGAAAACACAACGGCGCTTCATCGGAGGCTGCACTGATGATATTACCCAGCAGGGTAATGAAACATCTGCAGAACAACGAACCAGCTCGGCGAGCCAACCAACCACAACATCCACAACCCAAGCTACAAATCTACTCTAAAAGCTACTGGTGAAACTCTTGAAAGTGACCACTGTGTACAGTTCCAGTCACTCTGCTATGGGAAGGATATTAATAAATTGGAGAGAGTGCAGAAAAGATTTACCAGGATGTTCCCGGGAATGGAGGGTTTGGGTTATAAGGAGAGGCTGAATAAAGTGCAACTTTTTTCACTGGACCACAAAAGGTTGAAGGGTGATCTTATAGAGGTTTTTAAGATGTGGGGCATAGATAAGGTGAATAGCAAAGTTCTTTTCCCTAGGGTTGAGGAGTTCAAAACTAGAGGCCATAATCTTAAGGTGAGAGGAGAAAGATTTAAAAGAGACCTGAGGGGCAATGCTTTCACACAGAGGGTGGTTCCTATGTGGAATGGACTTCCAGAGTAGGTGGTAGATGCAGGTATAGTTGCAACTTTTAAAAGACATTTGGACTGGTATATGAATAGGAAAGGTTTAGAGGGATATGGACCAAACACAGGCAAAAGGGACTAATTTAGTTTGGAAAACTTGGTTGGCATGGACAAGTTGGACCATTGGGCCTATTTCCATGCTGTATGACTCTATGACTCAATGTTAAGCCACTGGTTATGCACTTTCTGCTGAGTTTTGGGCTAAGATGAGACAAGGGTCTCTTAATGTGGGAAAGTGGGAGGACAATCTAATACTTTGTATGGTGGCTTCAACTGAAAGTCAAATAAATAACCATTCCATAGAAAAAAGCACTGAAATGCAAGCACTGAAACAATGTCACTAAACTAAAAACATTGAAACAAAAGCAATATCAAGGTATTGTTTGGGTATTTTATAACACATGACTTGTGCTTGTAGTATGCTTTGCTCTTTCTGTTGAAGGCTCACATTATTGTACCACCAACAACATCCTCACCATCCCCTCAGCAACTCATCCCTCATCAAAGTGGAGCCTGTCATAGCACCTAGAACTGCAGGGACAGTCTCATCATACCCCAACCAAGAGAGCAATGCACATTCTCTGTGTCCCAGAATGAAAAATGGGTAAACAGGTTTTGTACAAAAATCAAAGTTCCAGGTTTTCCCTTTAACGGTATATTCGATATGCTAACATCACAAATAAGTCGAAGACAAACTTCAGCCCCTTTTCAGATGAACAAAACATGTTGCTCGTCATCAATGGATTGTTAGTTTCAGGTTACATTTCATTTGAAGACTACAGTGAAAACTTTGATAGCAAGGTGTAGAGCGGATGAACACAGCAGGCCAAGCAACATCAGAGGTGCAGGAAAGCTGACGTTTCGAGCCTAGACCCTTCTTCAGAAAA